TTGGTGAAAACAAGAAGACCAACCTCTCTCTCTCAAAAGCCAAGAACTGAAAATATGGAAAGAAATATCCCAAATTCAGCACCATACACTCTTCCCCAATCAATGGAGGACAGTATGAGAGACTCACAGGTCTTAAATGTATGCTCCTGAGATCAGTAACTAACTGCCTCCCAAGGTAATGTTGATATTGTCTCAACAACAAGAAAGCTATGAATCAGGAATTCACAGTTCACAAAAAGAAACACAAAAATTGGAAACCAAAATGGAAGGTTAGTTGAGTTTTTTATGTGCAAATTTATATTGGCCAACATCACTCAGAATAAATCAGAACAAAGGAAGGTGACAAAAACACTGAATTGTATACTCTGAGGAAAACTGTAAGCATAACAGCTGTAGGTTTGCCAAAAAAAGAGTTAAGTTATTTGGAGAAAGAGCACGGGATCCAATCCTTTGGTTGTACAATCCTTTGCCCTCTTTAGAAGAGGGCTCCTTAGGAAGTCAAACATTGAGCTTCTAACACAAAATGATGCGAGGTGAAGTAAAGAGTGTTTAAAGGTTTCCTCTTCCTCAAATATTTTTCAATTTTCTAATCGTGAAATTCTTTCTGAAGATTGGTGGAGGAAGGGTTCCTGTCAAGAAACATGGATACTACAACACAAAGAATAGACAAGCCTCAAACGAAATGACTAAAATTTATAGCCACCCTGTTGACCTATTTTGTTTGAATAAAGTTTATCTTTTCCTTTCTAGTGCAAGATAAGAGGACATAAATACTCTTAATTTTCCCAGAGGGATTGTAGTGACACTTAGCAAATGCTCACATATTGTAACTACATTACATAGTTTAAATCTTGTTGACCCTAAATAATTATTTCCCTTCAATATGATGTACATCATGTAAGCCTTATTGTAAAGCTTATTTTGCTTCTCCAACAACAACCTATGTCTAGTAAAATCTCAGGATGACATATGGAATGGTGCTGTCATTATTCACTATCTGTCCATGAATACCACTTGCTTCATTGAAACATCCTAATTCTAAAATAGAACTAAAATGTTCCTATTATGAAAACAGTGAGGCCAGAGGTGATTTCTCCTACTTCCTTAACTCACGGTAATTCATCCATCACTGGATCCACAGGTTGTTACTCTGTAACAGCTCCTTGTCTATTCCCCGATTACCACTCTTCTAGAACTATGTATCATTCCATCTAGACTATTTCTGTTGCTTCTTAACTAGACCATCCATCCAGTGAGTCCTCCTTATTGACTTCTAATTACTCTCATTAATAATTTCAATAGTCTTCTATCTATTGCCATTCCACTGCTCAGATCATGAGTAATCTCCATGGCCAGAGCATGAAGTTTAAACTCTTTAAATTTGTTCAGGCTATAATCAGGATGACCTTAACTATCTCTTTAACTTTGTTCTTATTTAAAAGTCATCATTGTTACTGCTACTATATAACCCCTTAGCTCCGGTCAAACTGTTTTTCTTGCTTTCACCTTCTTATCCCTTCCAAGAGACAAAGTAGACTTCCAGTTTTGATGAATTCATCTGTTGGATTCATATTCAACTTACAACTAATGCTCTGCTTCCTAGATCAACGAGGTCACATTGACATGTGTCTCACTCAAACTTCAGAATACGGACAATGCTTTGGCACTAATTTCCTAACAAAAGAGCAATGATACCTCATACTATTTTTTATCCTAAGCCATTACTTTTTCCCCTGAGTTGTAAACACTGTGAGAAGGAGAATATGCCATTTAAGATGACCCATACCTAATAGATCGCTTTGCAAACTCAATAGTTTTAAAATGAAAATGATAAAACCAATACCTGCCATTCATCATTGCACTTAATACTTTCATTGTGCAAGTGAATGACTTAGGGTGTTCCTGTAAATGTATATTTCTAGATCCAAGCCAAGAGATTTGGTTGGTCTCAGGTTAGGAAAAATTTTTTAAACTAAATACTTCCAGGGAATTTTGATGCAACTGGTACACAAATGGTGTTCTGAGAAAACACCGCCACTCATTAAGATGAATCAGAAAATAAAAACATGAAAGAAGTAAAAAGTAGAAAATTATACAGAATTATAAGTAATGGAGAAAGATTTGGCCTATTATAGCCTAAAATATATAAGACCTAGATATTTATATTCCCAGTATCACTTACTTTTTAGAATGAAAATCCCATAAATATATTTCATATAAAGTAATTCTTTCCTTTTGTAAATCATAAACCAACTTCTCCCTTAAAATTAAACTTCTTAACTCCCAAATAACTACAGTAAACTCTAGTTAAACTTATATTGAAATTACTGTATTTAGCAACCTGCTTTTTCCATGTTTTTCAGTTTTCTTCACCTTGACAGAAATTGAAATATATTCTTTTTCCCTATGGTATCCACTTAATTTTAATTTTGTCTGCCTTACCTTTTGACATTGACTTGTTTGCACTAACATCCTTTAGAGAAACATTTCAGGAATTCTCATTAAGTCATATAACCATGAATAATTACAAAGGGGGACCTACTAAATGCAAATGTAAGTCAAGGAACAAGAAAATCTTGATTCCTTTGTATCTTACATCCAACTTTTTCTATGGCTTTGGAGGGCACAGGTAGGACTGAATGGCTCACCTTGGCTCACAGTCTGTGCTTGTTAAGTGTTTTTAAATAATACTACCAAAGTGTTAATTACATAAATATTTTCATCTATGGGGATTATGTATACTTAGCACTTCTATTTCCTTCTGAAATATCTTCTTGGGGCTCACACTGTTCATGGAAAATTAACAATTGGTTCCTCCACAGTTCTCTAGTGCTTACATCAAAATGATGTGCATGTACAGGCCACTAGGGAGAGACATGGAGTCTGGATCAGTCTTTGGATCAACTGAGTGCCAAGTTTCACTGGAAGAATATAGTGGTTTGACTAAGGCATTAAAGAACCTGTCAAGGTTCTATTTAACTATTGGGGAACAGTATATATAGCAATAACACACTGTGTTGTAGTCTACAGAATTCAAGAGATTTCAGGTAATATTCATCCTGTAGGAAGGGAACCCACATATTTAAACTATCAACCCATACTCAACATATACAACATGCCAAATATGAAAAGCAACATTTGCAAACAAAAATCCATAGAAATTTATAGCAAAGGGAAAATATGATTACATCACCAAAGAAGACAATGTTGAAAATTAAAAATAAACTTACTTTATTTCCCAATTCCAGGACAATACATTAGATTACATAACATAATACACACACACACACACACACACACACACACACACACACACAGAGAGGCACATTCATTTGGGCCAGATCCAGCAGTGAGTGATTCTCACACAGGACATAAGTTTATCAGGAAATGTTTCTCATTTTACTTGATGCTTCCCATTTTCTTGTTGTAAATTAAAACAAGTTACTTTAGGAAGTCATTCTAGTTTAAAGTAACAGAAAGTGAACAGGTATGACAAAATTAAAGGACTCAAATTACAAGAAGTATTAGTGGGTGCAATGCTATATGTTTGTGGTATTTACGGACTGAAGGATATTCTCATCATTACAGTTACAGAGAAGTACTGTGTAGAAAATTACTTCACAAATCACACTAAATTCTGCAACTGAATGTATATCTTTTTTACTCAGGTATTTTAAAATTTTCGCAAAATTTAAATACAAAGGTAGTTTTCTGAATGAATCTTCTCAGTTCTTAAAATGCATCTCAAAATACAATGGAAAGAAGGGGGAAAAAAGACGCGGGAGGTATCACGTACAGGTGCAAATTCCCTATGATAAGTGTTATCATGTATGCTCTACAATCTATCAATAAATGTTTTGGTATTAAAAATAAATAAATAAAAATACAATGGAAAGGCAATTTAATTTCTACCTCCTCAGTACTGTATGTGTTCATCAATAAAGTCAATTGAAAGTTAAAAGCAACACCACCAATATTTCACTTGTCTTGAGTTGAAATTAACGACCACAGTCTACTCTCAGTCAGGGGAACTGCAATCTTTGAAACTGTTTGAAGTGAGAGGCCTCATAGTAGGTGGAATATAAAACTTCTTCAGGAGTTCAAGAACTCCGTTAAGCACACGCTACTGATAGATCAGGTATGAGCTTTTTAGGTAAATGCATACTCCTTAAAAGCTCCCAGTAAGAAGCTGACCAAAACGTTATTGGTAATCCCTTTTCAAAAACCACAATACCCTTAAAATCATCAGCAACAGTTTCAGGCAAAGGATTAAACATTTCTTATTTAAAAACAAAATAACAAACAAGAAAAGACGCCTTAATTGTTATTATCTTATGGTCAACTTTCAGAAATATGTTTACATACAGGTGAAAAAAGATCTTTCTTGATTACGACCTAAACGACTCTGACCTCCAGCTACATCTGTAGCTCTGGCCAACTGCAAGTGAACTCTGAAGTATTAAAGCCCTCAAGCCCAGTTACTAAATTCTCTTAAACTTTTTTTTTTTTTTTAATTGCGCACAGAGCCTGGTGCTCAACATATCGTGAACACTAAGAAAAGAAGTCTCGGTTGACTGGCCACTCTGGCCCCCAAAGCGGTTTAGAGTCCCAGGAATCAGCTAGGGGAAGAAAAGGGCATTTGTGACCAGAAAGAAACGCTCTCCTGAGCCGTGCTAACTGGGCAGGGTTCAAGAACCCCCCCACCCCACCCCCCGCCCCTGCGACTGCGGAGGCCGCTTCGAAAGAGGCTGCGATCTCTATCATTAGACAGCCCCTGTGTCCTTCACTCCTGTAACTTGCTTTCCTATCTAGAAAGAACTTTCTATTTAAAAGGAAGAAAAACTTTTCTCCAAGGACGCACACACATAAGTTAGGATCCAGCGGCTGAAGGAGCTCAGGCTCTATCCTCCGCGCGGCTCCTCCACAAACCCACGCTCCGCAAACCTGGCCCCGACCCCGCGGGCCCCCAGACCCGGGCGCGGGGCGATCCTGGCACCTACCTTGACCTCGCCCCCGTCCGGCTCCGCGTCCAAGAAGCCGAGTCCCGACTCGAAGGCGGAGGCGGCGGCGGAGGCGGCGGCGGGCGCCTCGCGCGGTCCGGGGAGCAGCGCAGCGGCGAGCAGGGAACACGCCAGAGAGAAGCAGCCTAGCAAGTGCATGGTGGAAGGACCGGGAGAGGGGAGGCCGGTCCGCTGGCAGGGGCAGGGGCAGGGGTGGGGGCGAGGGCGAGGGCGCCCCTGTGAGGCCGAGGTCCCGTCCTCGTCCCTCTCCCAGGCTTTGCAGGCGGGGATCCCCCGGGGCGCGCCGGCCGCGGCGGGAGCGGGTCTGGGACGCCGCGTGCCCAACTTTCTAAGTCGCTCTCCCAGCCGGTGCCGGGGAAGGGCGACTAGTGTCAGGTAAAAGGCTCACAGGAAACCGGACATCCGAGCTCCCCTCCTTGGAAGCCGGCGAGGTGAAGCGGTTTTGTTTTTGCTTTTTGGAAAGAGCGGGGCGGGGAGGGGGAGCCCAAAATCCCCGCAAGGTTCTGCTCCTCGGGAGCCAACGGAGCCCGCGTCCCC